ATGACCCCTTTGCTCGCGCATGTCATCGCGTGACACCCGGTTTTCAAACCGAGATCCAGCCCCCGCAGCTTCCACCATCTCGTTGTACATCTCTTCCATGGTGCGCATCTGAGTGCGCATTGCCTCCATTGCTTTCTGGAGCACGTCAAAATTCTCCCTAGTAGGAGCTGGGGCTGGTCCTCGAGTGGTTCTCTTCGAAGCCTCACCTCGGCCGCGATTGGCCTTGGATGGCTTCGGATGTGCTGGTGGCAGAACGGGCCTGGTGATAGGTGCCGACCTGCGGAGAGGCTCTGTCCCTAGGCCTTCATTAACCTGTCCCTCTACCACCTCTGCTTCGGCTTCCCTCTAGTGGCCATCATTGGCCGCTAGAGCTCTTCGGTCGGCTGTATTGGTTGAGTTTGCTGGCTGAACCATTTTTGTTCGCGTTCTTAAATCGGGATGACTTAGATCGTCCTCCCCACAGACGGTGCCAAATGTTTATGCAAAGATCTACACAACGATATTTCTCGAACCAAGCTCGAACCCGGTCTCCGGTCTCAACCTGTACACTAGAGTGGACCTGCACAAGAGGGTAAAACACTCTGAAGCTCAAGTCAGTATAGGTCGGACTCCGTATTTAGTTCGAGGTGAGATTCGATACCTGAGCGTGAAATGAGGCCCTCTATTTATAAGTGGTGGATCCGACAGTACACACGACCGGCGGTTACATGTTTTTTCTCATATCGGACCTGTCGGGTTTCGAGTAGATCGAGCCCCAGCTAGGTCGAGCCTTGGCATCTATACTTAGCCTTTTTCAATGGACGAACCTGGTCTCCTCGGTAGGGTCGAGGTGGACCTGGGTAATTCCTTTTATTTAACTCTTCAAACACCAATAAGTGTCTTCCACGTGTCCTAGGTATTTTTACCTTCAAACATACTGCACTCGTCATTGTTCTTCCAGCCTTCTTATGGACAAGTGATGGATAAATTTAGATTTACTTATACTGATCACATATTCCATTGGGTTCATTCTGTTAATCAATGGGAGTTTTGTATGTTGTTGTTGTTTAATTATTAGCTTATGGGTAGGATTTGATGCGAGAGTGTTTGTTTTTGTAGTGTAACGAATGCTAATATATGGTTCTACATCTTCATGTTTGATAAGTTAAAT